AGCGTCCTCTCTTCTCTTGTGATAATATGAAAATGCTCGTAGTCGCTGAACCGAGAGGGAAATTGTTAATTCTTGTCTGCGCACTTACTGCCTCGAGCTTCTCGGAGAGATACACAATCACCTGGTGTCCTTCCTTACCCGTCTTCTATCCCAACGAAAAAAACAAAGTGACTAAAAAAAGCGGATTTAGATTGCGCCCCCCCCCCCCCCCCCCCCCCCCCATTATCTTTTCTAAAAATACTCATTTGGATTTTCTGACTGTTGTTAGGGTCTAAAGTAAAGAGAAAAAAAATATTCGGGGCCTTGGCGTCAATGTGCGTCACCTCACAATACCGGCGCCAAAAAGTTGCGAATATTGAACTTTGAATGCAGAGACCGGAACACGGAGCGGTGATGTCAGAGGCAGCTGCGGTAGTCTATGTGTCCCGGCTTGAAAGTTTAAAATATGCCCGAAACACTTCTAAAGGCATGAAATATGATCCATAATATCCGCAAATAATAATCACACGCTTCTAATTTCAGCGGATGGCTACCAACCGACGGATTCTTGTGAGCGCTTCAAAAAAAAAAAAAAAAATTGGGTTGTGTGTATGTTTATACAGCCTAGAACTTGGTCTGCCTCACAGGGGCGACGAGTCTCCCAGCTGTAGATGAGAAATTTAGCCAGTGCAGTACAACCGCTAGCCTGGGGTCTTTAACGTGCATCACGCAGTAGTGATACACGACCGCACGCCGGTACGATGCTCATCCAGATCGAAACGGGCAGGGGTGGGGCTCGAACCCAGGATCCCTGGGTTCTGCAGCGCGAGCTTTCGCTCCACGTGCTCCGAGCTGGTGTGCGCTAGACCACTCGGCCACCGATCTTTTTTTTTTTTTTCGTTATTGCATGGTAGTTACAGCACTAGCTGCACAGCTCTTTTGCACAGCGTATTAAAAATCACGCATTCCGAGGAGTGATTTTAAAATACTAGTCCACTCCGGTTCAGGTTCACAGTTCAAATACACACTCTGTACTTGTTTTACAAGGTTGAAGAAATATATCCGCACTTCTTCTGCGTCGAGGTCAGCATGTCGAACAGCCATACGTGATCTCCAAATGCTGCACAAAGCTAACAACATAATCATGTCATAAGGAACTTTATTATCATTATCCACACTAAAGAAACGTATCCCTGTGGGGGTTACAGGTAATTCTTTCTTTAGAGTGCGTTGGAGGACATCCCAGAAAAATACCGCATCCCAACAAAAAATAAACACATGTTCAATAGTCTCAGGTTTTTTTTTACATAGAAGGCAATTTACCGACCATGGCACATAGATCCCTTAACTGGCAAGGTATTCGTGTGTAATTTATAAAAGAAAGCCCCCCTGTGTGTGAGCGCTTCAAAATCGGTCATCGAGGCGACGCGATGCGTCTCGGGATGTTTGCCCGTGAAGTCAAGCTCGTAACGTCATGCGCCCATACACGGCCGAGGGCACATTCTCCGGCCGTCCCATTCGTGCGGAGAGGGCGTAATCGGAAAAAGAGAAGGAGGCGCCGTCTCTCCGCGGGGAGGCGCTCCCAACCCAGTCATCGACAGCATGGCGCAAAGCAGAAGAGATCAAGAAAAAAGTCTTGTAACGTCGGGTTACTGCAACTTCTACTTACAAACTTTTTTTTGTATTGTGGTAAAACGATGAACAGCTGCTCCGGGGACTTAGATAGAAAATTTGTGATGCTTATTTAATTATTTAATTTGAGATAATCATCTGGACATGTTGCGGCTAGCGCAGCAAGCGCGCCTTTTGATATATTTGATTGCAATCTGTAACACGTATAAAACAAAAACAAAAAAGCTCCGTATATAAAAAAAATAGTATTTCCCTAAATAAAACAAAATCATGCTGCAATATTTTTCTCTTGTTTTTTTTTTACCTTCGCACTTTGTTTGGCGTAGCTTTTTGAGCCTCACGGGGTTTGGTACTATATAATGAAGTCCGTGTTGTCCTTGTTTTAATATTTTTAATATTCATTACGCAATGTTTGCGGGTCGTTTTGCGGTGTTTGCTTCTACTAGAAATGCCTTTAAGCCGGTGTCACACTGCTTGTACATTATACACAAGACAGTCTGCAGATATCAGTCACCACGATCTCCGTGGTTCGAATGCCGCGTACCAAGTGTCTCCATGAACTCGTTGCCTTGCGGCGTTCGAAGCTCAGATCTCGTGGTGACTCGAGTTTGAATCTGCTTGCAGACTGTCTTTTGTATGATGTACAAGCAGCATGACCCTGGCTTTGGGGAAAAAAACTTATGGCGGTGAGGTACAACCACCTCGCAATAATTTCGCCATTTTTTTTTTATAAACTTCGTGATAATTGTAGGTACTGATTGAACAGGTTGGGCATTACCTTGTTAACGTCTAGTTTTCGGCACATGTAGCACAGATCACCGTATCCCGTAATGCACTTTGTGATGTAACTTAATTGATATGCAAACAAACAATATCTCAAGAAAAAAAAATCTGGTTTATCCGCTATCCATTTCCGACAACCGGCCCGGCCCGACCCGAAGTCAATTTTCACGGGCCAGCTGCGCTTTATTTTAGCCCAGTATGAATAGCTCACAAATTGCGCGGCATGGCAGCTCGCTTGCAACTGCTACAGATAAGTTGATTACGATACCCAATAGTAAATAAAGCATTTTTTTGCTGCTATTATTAGTTCGACCAATCTGCAGGCATAGGCAGCTTGTTAGGAAAAATCACCCGATCTTCCTTTTCTGCGATCAAACACGCGCAGAAAGGACGGAACAACAAAAATGACAAGCAGAAGTAAACAAAACTACGTGTCACAGTTGGAAAGGAAGGGAAACATCGCGACGGGTTTGTACAAAAGACGGGCAAAGTTCTTAATTAGCCACTTTCGCTGCGCACAACCGTAAAAAAAAGAAGAAAAAAAAAACAGCCTTGTCGTTTTTTGCGGTGGTCTGCGAGAAATTGTTTAGGAAATTAAAGTACCCCTCCGGGGAACCTCTTCACCCCTATTGGGAATGCAAGCACTCGTGCGTACAGATAGTTTGCGCCGGGGAGGGTACGCATTGTATAGGCGTGTGTATGTGCGTGTTTGTGGTGAGAAGCGATTGTATGATGGCGGCGGCGCCGACGGGGACGAAAAGGAACGCCGCGCCGCTAGTCCTCTGGAAGAGCGTTCGCTGCATACACCGAACCATACAAAACATTTACCCACACACACATGCTTCAGCATCTGTTTATCCCCCACTGTGGTTTCTCTCCCAACCCCAGAAGACAAATCCAAAAAACAAGCCGCTAAAAAAAATTAAAAAAAAAGTAATGGCCGGTTTGGCTCGCTTTGGCTCCCCTTGTAGACTTGAATGCAAGGCCCGTACCCGGCCCGTGCCCTTCATAAATGTTGACGTGAAGTCCGAGCCCGGCCCGTGGCCCGTGGTCTGGCCCATACCAGCACACCTGCGACGCTGACGGCTCGCCCATCTGTTATGACTGGGCAGACAGCGCCGCCTCGCTGCGAGCGACGGAGTTAGCGCAATTAAGGCCTGTTCACACATGTAGCGGAGCGCTACAAGCGTAGCGCTAACCTCGCGCTAAGCGCGTGCTGACGGGAGCGTTCACCAGCTTTGTGTCGCACCGTCAATTCTGTTGTTCATGGCAGACAATAAGTAGCAGACGACACGTGAGCAGCGCTACGTTAGCGCTTCGCTGCATGTGTGAACCGGCCTTTACATTCTTCTGCTGGGGAGCGAGACGAATGAGGCGGCCGGAGAAGCCTTCGCGCGCCATACGCGCGCTTCGGGATCAAGGAGGCCATGATTTAGGTGAAACTGTAGAAAGGATAAAGTAATTATGTTCAGTTTCTGGATGAACATAATGTTGCTTGAACAATGGCGCTTATGCATACCTGTACCGTTAAAGCCGTAACACGTGTTAATTTACAATTAAAAAAAGTAATGCAAACGTAACGTGCGTTACTTTTTAACGGTAACGGTAATGCGTTCCTTTTATTTTGAGGTAATGTAGGTCGGTAACGCGTTTCTTTTATTGGCAAGTAACGAGTATTATATTTCGTTACTTTTTTTCGGTACGCCGACAAAACAGACTAGAACTGAGAGGTGTGCCAAGCGCCGCTCGTATCCGGGCGCCTCCATCGGACACTCCGCGCCGTGGGGCTGCTCATGATGGACCCGTGTCGTGAGACATTCCAACGAAGCTCGGCTCCCACAACTACCAGGTAGTGTTGGGAAATCATTCGTTTTAAAATTGCTTTTCTAGCGTTTACGGACGCTACGATTTCACTTCCCTACCCCTGAAAAGGGACACATGACATCTCCCAAAAACGTTTGTTATTTTTTGTCAGGCGATTTAATTATGGTATCAGAAGACTACCCAATCAATATTTTGCTACAGTGAACGCATATTTTAATAAAGTCAAGAAACGCAACTGCTCGAAATTGAAACTGGACTGGGGAGGAAGATGAAATATAGAGGAGAAAGATACCGGAGTCACGTGACTTCTCGACTTTTTTTTAATCATTGTATTTCCGTCTTTTTTAGAAGCCGCAAAAAATTGGTATAATATTTTTTGTTCATTTCTAGTGTTGAGTGTGCACGCCTTCGATGTCCCGCGACTTTGATTATCTTTGGTGGTTGTGTCTAAACCATAGAAAATGGCACGTGACCACGGAGAATAGAGTGAGCGCGACTCAAACCGGCCAGTTCTCGATCGGCTGTTTTCGGGCGTAATGAAAACAAATTTCGAGCCGCAAATTCTGTCCTGGGTAGTTGAACTCTCATATTTTATGTACAAGTAAAACCTTTGGTGAGCATAACTGCCCTGTCAGTGTCCCTTTAATACTGGAGGATGTTTGAGCTTGCGCAGCATTCCGGGGAGGTGAACCTGCAGCCGCACCAGCGAGGCAGCGCCACTCACTCCGGCGTTCCCGCTCCGGCGTTCTAACTCATAGACCCAGAAAGGCAAACTGCGAATTGTTCCGTCCCGCAGCCTTCAACTACAGACAGATTTATTTTTCACCGCTACTTGTCGTATCAGAGCGCGTAGCCTCCGGTGACTTCGACCGCGGCGCCCGTCATGAAGGAGAACCCTGGGCCGCACATGGACTTGATGACCTCAGCAATCTCCTCGGGCCTTCCCATTCTGCCCGTAGGAATTGCGGCAGTGACTTCGGCCTTCACGGCGTCGGGGAAAGGCGCCGTCATCGGTGTGTCGATGGGGCCCGGAAGTACCGCGTTGCATCGAATGCCTTTGGGCGCGAGCTCCAGGGCGACGCTCTTGGTGAGACCGATCACTCCCGCCTTGGAGGCTGCGTAGGCTGCCCATCCGCGCGACCCTCCGAGTCCGAGGATGCTGGACACGTTCACAATAACACCGTCGCTGACACCTTGGGCGGTCATGGACTGCGCTGCGGCCCGCGTCACCAGGAACGTACCCTGAAATAGGTTCGAATTCCCCGCGTCAGCAACAGTGTCTTTGTGAGAGGCACAGGAAAACGATCGACATAGAGGGTTTTTCTTCAATTACTGAAGATATATACTTCGGCACATTGATACCTTAGAGTAGACCCATATGTTGTAGTAAAACAAACAATCTCCAAACTCCGGTCTAAAAACATGCTTTTCGTGTAAAGCTTGTCAGATTATGAGGCGCTGGAGAAAACCAGCCTTCTGCGTGAAGTCCCTATTTTTAACTCTTTTTGTTCGCGCTCCGCCCATCGAAAAGCATGCGGGAAGGGCCTCAGTACGGACCTCGTATCGTTGGGCCGCAGTGTTCTTCCGCAGCATAAAGGCCGTCTGCTTTCATCGCCGTCACCATGGCAACGAACGCCGATTTTCTGAACGCCGTCTGCTAGCCAAAGTTGAATAGTTTTGTAATGAGCAGCCGCAGACTGTCGCCACGAAGCGGAGTAAACGCAGGCCCGGGGGGGGGGGGGGAAGGGGGAAGGGTGAAAACGCTTTCCAGTGATACACGCGCCGACAGAAAAGGTGATTGGGCATTCGTTGCCAGTGTCGGCGATGAAAGCAGACGGCCTTTTTGCTGCTGAAGAACACTGTGACGCAGCGATACGAGGTGCGTGCTGAGGTGCTTCCCACATGCTTTTCAATGGGCGGATAGCAAACAAAGAGTTACAATAATGACTTAACGCAGAAGGCTGGTTTTCTCCAGGTCCTCATAATTTGACGAGCCTTACACGAAGAGCGCATTTTTTAACCGCGGCCCGTTTTTTTTTTTTTTTTTTTTTGTAACATGGGTTTAAAATATTAAACTGCCGATACTTCGATGGAAAAAGATGGGCTCCTGAACTAAAGAAACGACTCGTTCGGGATAGCGTCGTCAACCGTGACAGACGTCAAGTAGAGAGTGTAAAGCGATCACGAGCGGGTGAATCACCTCAACTCCAAGAATTTTCCTTCGATATGGTCGACTTAGCTGCTACATTCGACTTCTATTGGATTACCCGTCCTCAGAATATGCTATAAACCCTTATTACAAATTAAACGACCATATATCTTGCTCCGCGATATACTCCGACAAGGTTAGGCGAGTCCGCTATGCTGAAACTAAGTAAGAAAAAGTCGCCGAAACCTGAGCGCCCGAGGATACAACCCACTGCAGCGCGGCCACATCGCTTATACATTAAACAAATAAAACAGTCTGCATACGCTGTCTGCATACATGTCTCTTTCGTGTGTGACGATCCTTTCACATTGGTCACGCAAACACGATCTGCAGACATATTCGGAGCGCACATTGTATGAACGTGCTGAGGCGTGTCCACAGATGGATGATTGGCTATACCCTTTGTAACGGGCGGTAGCTTGCGCCACCTAGCCTAAGTTGAAAAAGACAAACATATGATAATTCTGTCATGATATGTCTGTATCGAACACCGGGTTTTTTGTATTATGTATGAGAGCAGTGTGACCGCGACTTTAATAACGCGACGCTGTCAGATCGGTTCCTCCGGGGAGACGGACGTCGTCCCTCCAGGATGGGATCTGCCCACCCTCTCGTGCAGTGAGTTATCACTCTGCTCACTGTTTAAATTTCCCAATGAATAGCGCGGAGCGGGAATTACTCGTCTGAATTCTAACGAGAGCTGCTGTACATTAGAAAAATAACTACTCATGATTAATTAGAAACCTAATTATTCCAAACGTCACTATCTTTTTTTTTTGAGAGCGCAGCTCTTAGGCGCCCGTTTCCGGCTTGAGCGGCGTCGGCGTCGCCGTCGGCGTAACCAAGGTCACCCCAAGGTCACGTGACCCCCAAGGTTACGTGGCCCCGATTAAAGGGGCGGTGCAACAATTTCCGGACTTTGGCTAATTAATTGCGGGAACTGATCCCGGCCACATATAAAACGAAGGGCCGAAAACTATTCTTTCCTGCTTGCCCTAGTTTTCATTAAAAAAAATGAAAGAAATTGATATCTCTGGCACCCCTCAACTCAACATTGAAGCGGCACCAGCTTCGCCTGTGACGTCATTCGGAGTGGCGTTGGTTTCCGGTTGGGTTCTTTTGGCTTCCGTTTTCCCAGCGCTCGCCGGCTCGCCGGGCTCGCCCCTCTCCCGCTCTCCCGCCGATTCCCGACCAACATGGCGGCATGGGCGGACGGCCTGAGCGACGTCGGCAGTCGACGCGGCGGGCAATCGAAGTCGAGGTCGAGGTCGAGACACCAGGAACAATAACGATACCACGATACTACGAACCACGACCAACGCACTCCGTCGAGCGAGGGAAAGGCAAAACGTCCGGGTTGCTCGTGTAGCCGCCGTAGGCGCCTCGGGCGTCGACGGACGACGGCAACGGCAGGTTTTGTTGACTTGCGGTAGATGGCGCCACAAATAATTCATACCCTTTTAGCGGCAATATTAGGCTTCTGAAGCGTTTCTGCATGCCTAAACAACAATATTTTTTAAACTTAACCTTAAATCAAGCTTACAATTGCCTAACACTATCACTTACAAAAACCACTCCGAATGACGTCACACCGCAGGTTCTATTTGCGGCCACCATGTGGCCGCAGGTTGGGAAAAAAAGCGTTCTTTATTTTGCGATTACGCAGCGAAATAGAAGTATTTTGGGATATGGTGGCACTTTTTCTCTTACTTATGCCGAAGTAAACAATATAAAAAATACAAGCTGCACATTCGTTCAGTGTTAAAATCATTGCACCGCCCCTTTAAGTTCACCTCAAGGTCACGTGACCCCCTCCCCCCCGCCCCCCCCCCCCGAGGTCACGTGACCCCCTCCCCCGAGGTCAGGTGACCTCCCGGAGCATATTAAAGAATGAGGGGAGGAGGAGGAGGAGGGGTCTACCCTCCCCTCAGTACCCTTCACTCCTCCTCCTCAAGAGCTGCGCTCCAATTCGGCGTTCCAGACAGTTGTATTTTTTAATAGGCCTAGCTGTTCGGCAAAGAATAATAGTGATGTCTCGTTAATATGGACACTTCCGTTCCCTGAAACAATCGTCCATAATATGAGTTGTCCATTATAACGAGACAAAAATGCACGTATTTTCGCCGTTTGTCCTTGAAAAGTGTATCCAACGTAGCGGGGTATCCATATTAACAAGGTCCATATTAACGGGACATGACTTATCACATCAACCTTTTTTTTTCTTTTTTTTTTTTTGGGGGGGGGGGGGATGCGTACGTTTCGCAATGGCAGCAAATCGGCCAGTGTTTCAGGAGCACCCCTGAATATTTTACAGTAAATTATTGAACTCTAGGACAGATGTAAGTCGAGAAATCTTCAAAAATAAAATTTAATTGCGCGCCAAGTAAAACATGAACTCTGTCAAATTGCCGGTATATTTTGTATAGTAAAGCGAGTCTTTTTTATTATACTTTATTAGATGAATGTTTATAGAAACAAGTCTCCGGGACAATGCGCCGAGAGGCAACCATACCCCGTTGCTGGATAAGATAATCGGGAAAAACTGCTCCTCGCACAACCTTCGACTCTTTCCAATTAAAGGGGCCCTGCAAGCACTTTTTTACTAATCTTTAATTTGCACCAAACCTGAGCGCACTGAACGTAGTAACTTAGTGCAACTTTTATCTTCTCGAAATTCGCTTTATTTTAAAAGTTATAGGCAAATCAAAATTACAAAAACAAGCAAAAAATAACCTCCCTCATGACGTCCTTGGTTGCTCGAGCGGCCGTGAACTAGAGGACGGGTAGTGAGCTCATCGCGAGCATTCACAGCTGCCGCATTCCGTGTCGACGGCGCGAGAGGGCGCCACTAAAGCGTGTTCTGGACAGGCTGTATGCAGCGGGCAGCCAGAGCGGCTCTCATTGCCTTTGCTGCGTGATTAAACACTAATTCGGCATGACACTTCATTGGCCATAAACGACAGCAAACACGGGGTAAAGATCAGTTCAGAGTGGGAGCCACTTCTCGCTGCCATACCGCGGAACGGCTAAACCGCCAGACAAAGCATCTCGCCGACGGCCTTCGGAAGGCTCGGAGCCGGTCGGATCCTCCTGCCCATACGACCGCAGCGCTGCCGCGTACATCCGGGACCTTTCCGTGTCGGCGCCTGATCCAACACCTTCTGATCCCACTACTTCTTTCTAGTATGCGCCTGCGCCGCCTTTTCCACCGCTTGGTGGCGGGTATGTCGACGGGTCATTTCTTGTTTTCGTACTTTATAAACTGCATTTGTTTCTTTTCTCATCTAAAATAGTGAACAAAAACTACTTTTATAAGTAGTTGAAACGGTTCGCGACACTTATATTTTGTATTTCGACTAAAAAGAAGCTTTTAGCGGCTCTGACCAGTAGTAAGCCCAGGACCAAAGACGTCACATTTTGCGCGCTTTCGGTACCGCGGGTCGCCCTCGTCGGTGGAGGGGGTTTCCGCGCCGTCCGGTTAAAATATGACGCCCTGATATTTAGTTACTCTCTCCGTGCCCGCTGGCTTGCCCGAACTTCAAGAGACGTGGAAACCGCAAAAAAGGTAGACGCTTAGATATGATTGCAGGGCCCCTTTAAAGGGGTTATGACACGAAAATTAAACGGATAGATTATTCTTGAAATGGAATGCTCATAGGCTACTTAGTATATACACCAAGTTACGCAATTGTTAGAGCTCTGATAATTGCAATATTCAATTTACGAATTTTTATAATTTTCATCTGGCGACCAGGCAACACTGCTCAAGTTAGTCACACCATGGTGTCCATAGACCACGTGACCATGAACACTCTCTCATTCTAGGCGCCCCCATGATCGCCCAAGCTCTTCTCGTCGCGGTACGAACAAAACCGCTCAAACAGCTCGGTAAACTGAAAGCTATTCTCGCTCTCGCCCCCCGGCCAGTTGACCTTCCAGCCTGCATGGGCCTGCGAGACATTCCCGGACGACGGTGACCACGGCGAACTCGTCGTCGCTGGAGCTCGTCGCCAGCGGGTCGCAGTCAAAATGAACAGCTTCCAACGTCCCTTGATAGCAATCACTATCATCGCTGCTGCGATCAATGTCGAACACTTCGACAAGGCGATCGATGTTGTAGACGTAATCGTCAGAGACCGGATGCTGGAAACGTGGAAGGTAAACGAGGAAGCTGAGGCTCGAGACGCCAAGAGAGCCAAGACTGTGAGTGCGTGCAAGGAGACACCGCGCTGGAGGCTGGCTACGTCATCAGCCTCCAGGTCCGCCCGGATCTGCCCCTCCGAGGGGCCCGCATATAAATCGATTTATCCACGAAATTATCGCGCCTTTTTCAATACAATTTTAGCAGGATTATAGGAACATACAATGGGTCCTAGCAGTATAGTTATGTAATATTTTATTTTTGGCGTGTCATAACCCCTTTAAAGGGGCCCTGCAATCATATTTAAGCGTCTACCTTTTTTTGCGGTTTCCACGTCTCTTGAAGGTCGGGCAAGGCAGCGGGCACGGAGAGAGTACCTAAATATCAGTGCGTCATATTTTAACCGGACGACGCGGAAACCTCCTCCACCAACGAGGGCGACCCGCGGTACCGAAAGCGCGCAAAATGTGGCGTCCTTGGTCCTGGGCTTACTACTGGTCAGAGCCGCTAAAAGCTTCTTTTTAGTCGAAATACAAAATATAAGTGTCGCGAACCGTTTCAACTACTTATAAAAGTAGTTTTTGTTCACTATTTTAGATGAGAAAAGAAACAAATGCAGTTTATAAAGTACGAAAACAAGAAATGACCCGTCGACATACCCGCCACCAAGCGGTGGAAAAGGCGGCGCATACTAGAAAGAAGTAGTGGGATCAGGCGCCGACATGGAAAGGTCCCGGATGTACGCGGCAGCGCTGCGGTCGTATGGGCAGGAGGATCCGACCGGCTCCGAGCCTTCCGAAGGCCGTCGGCGAGATGCTTTGTCTTGCGGTTTGGCCGTTTCGCGGTATGGCAGCGCGAAGTGGCTCCCACTCTGAACTGATCTTTACCCCGTGCTTGCTGTCGTTTGTGGCCAATGAAGTGTCATGCCGAATTAGTGTTTAATCACGCAGCAAAGGCAATGAGAGCCGCTCTGGCTGCCCGCTGCATACAGCCTGTCCAGAACGTGTTTTAGTGGCGCCCTCTCGCGCCGTCGACACGGAATGCGGCAGCTGTGAGTGCTCGCGATCAGCTCACTACCCCTCCTCTAGTTCACGGCCGCTCGAGCAACCAAGGACGTCATGAGGGAGGTTATTTTTTGCTTGTTTTTGTAATTTTGATTTGCCTATAACTTTTAAAATCAAGCGAATTTCAAGAAAATAAAAGTTACACTAAGTTACTACGTTCAGTGCGCTCAGGTTTGGTGCAAATTAAAAATTAGTAAAAAAGTGCTTGCAGGGCCCCTTTAAGCGAGCAAATGCTAAAAAATAAAATTAGAGATTTTTTTTTTTTTTTTTTAAGAAGCAAGGAGTGAAAAAAGTGTATGTGAAAGATTTCTTTTTTTTTTTTTTTTTTTTTTTTTTGTCGTTTAAGAAAATGGAATGCCGCTCATTCGAGCGTCCGGGTTAGAGGCCCGAGGTGCCATGGCATTTAACCAAAACGGTAACGAATTGTGCAAATGCATTTATGTTTAAATCTTGATATAGGATTAGAAAAATCAGTGAGGTCTGATTATTTTTCTTTTGTACAATTTAACGGGTAAGACTCTTTATTAGATAAAGCACTTGTATATCTCGAATTATTATCTGCTGTCTTTCTGCTCACATTCGAGTTATTTTCTTAACACTGAGGGAGATCTCCCCATTGTCTTTGCGGCTCTGGTCATGCAGAGCTTGAAGAACAAACTCATCTTACCCGTAGGTTTACACTGATGACATTGTCAAAGTCGTCATCTGTGGTGTCTACGATTCCAGTTGCCGGTAAAAAAACGCCGGCGCTGTTCACCACGATGCTTAAAGGAAGAGATTGTTGCAGCAAGCTGTCAAAAAGGGCAGCCACCGACTCTGTGTACCGGACATCCACTTGTGATGCGATGTGACTCACGTTGCCTGCGGAAATGAAACAATATAAGTTTAGCGCAACTCGTTTCCTATTGTGCTTGTTGGTAATTTTGAAACAAAGGTGGTCTTAGCGCATGACCTCCGTTGCTGTTGGCAATTTTGTCTCGTCAAGTGGATGCCCCCAAAGATTAATGCATTCATTAAAAAAAAAAAAAAGTAAGGGAGCGTTGGGCGCTACAATTACGTAGGTATCAACATTCAAGAGCCTACAAGGAAGCAAAGGCATTTAGAAGTACTACAGGTGGTGACATAAATCTTCACTTAAACCCCGTAGTAAAATATTTTATTCAGCTTCTAAACCTAACAGCTTGTACCTACCAATATACCTGACTGTCAACTTAAAGGGACCATGAAGTGAATTTTGGGGCTGGGATAAATTGGGATTTTTTTTCTAATCACGTATCGTTTAGTGCGCTAAAAGAATACTACTATACGAAAGTGAAGTGAAACGCCTTCTTTTCGGTGCGAAGATTTAAAAATATAGCGGTCTATGCTTGACCTCCTTTCCGTTTTAAAGCTCTACGCCTTTTCACTGTGATACATTCACGGTGCCAAAACACGCCAGCCGAAACCCAGATCACGCATTAGACACGAGCACTGCGTCACTCGGACGTATGCGCTCGTCAACGATCAATCCGCCGGCGAATATTTTGATTCGCGCTAGTGGCCAATGAGTGGCGTGACGGCACTTGTCATCACTTGACAATGGCAAGTTTCATGGTGGAAGCTTGGAGCCACATCCGGTGATCAAGCACGTCACGACTACGTGATTTCTCATTTTGCTTTTGAGTTGAGGATTGAATCTAAGGAGGCAGAAGCTGAAAAATAATTTTATGGACCCTTTAAGATGGCACTTGAATTTTAAGGTTCTTTTCTAATTTTAAGAGTGAAAAACATTACCATATAAAGAAAGCAGAAAATTATTAGTACTCCGAGCAGTAGCCGCCTCGGTGGCTCCGAGGCGAGAGCGCCGGCCTACGGATCCACAGGTGGCGGGTTCGAAGCCCGACCGAGGTGTCCGTAATATGACGGAGGCTTATTGCGGAGAAGGTGCCGTGTAACCGAGCTTTCGGTTGCACGTCAAAAGATCCCCAGGTGGTCGAAATTAATCCTCAGTCCTCCGCTGGGGCGTGCCAGATGCCCGTCGTAGGTTTGGCACGTAAAACCCCCAAATTTGATATTGAGCAGTATATGCACTTGGGAAAAACCTGGCCTTTTAAAAATCCAATAGTTGTCGTGATATGTAAAATATATCTAGAAATGCCCATCTCTCTTGAAGATAAAAAAGCATATATGACAACGCAAAAATAAAAATCAACTTGATAAGTACGCAGCGTGGATGTGCGACAGCATAGACACGTGACCGTGACACATTGCCGCGAGGCAGCGTTACTAGAGGGGGTCATGTTTGGGAACTCGAGTGGCATTCACTGGAGGATCGCGGGTCGCTGCGCTGGCGGGCGTAACAGTGGCACTGCCGTCGCCGTGAAATCGCTTCTCTCCGCGTATTCTTCTACACTTCGCTTGCATGGTCTACCGCGTGCTCCGCCAGATCCGCCGTGAACCCTCCGCTAGTGTGCATCGGTTTTGGAATGATCAACTGACCGCGACCTGTAAATCCAACTTTTTTTAGAAATCGTCGATTCGAGACGGTTGTTGCTGGGGTTTTAACAGTTGGAAAAAGTTCACAGCTGGGGCATTCAGCACACACTTTGAGAAAGTCAACATAGCCTAAGAACACCCCCAATCCTTTGGGGGTTTGATAGCCATTCCTGAGTCGTACTTTGACTCTTATAGCTTGCCTCTGGCACCAACTTTTCTCCTGTGTCGACAACCAGAGGGAGATTTTTTTTTTTAGATGTGGCAGCCCTCATCACAGAAACGATGCCTTGGTTCTCCACAAGCTTGCCGAAAATCATGCCATCCCCGGGTGTCCTTTGACGTACTCATTTTATGACTGGCGACCGTGTTCCTGAAATTTTTAAACCGATTTTGAAAACGTCGGTGAGCTTGTCTGTTCGGTTGCACTCATCGTCGAGTGCTTCGGGTTTGTAATTGTCACATCAGGGTAACAGAACTGACTGCAGCATGAATACATGTGCGGGGGCATTCGAAAACAGAGGTGGAATAGCATTTATTTTAATTACCATTGGAACTTGGCCATCACAACCGTCTGTTCATCAATGACGTGCGAGTAATGACGACTAATGTCATCGGGCTCAAAATGCAAATCGCACACAGTCTTTTATAACAATAATAATCCTTGGGGAGAGGGAACAAGGGGGACAGAGATGACTGGTGCACGACTGAAAAAAACCGCCTGGTCCTGGTATCGAACCAGGGACCTCTCCATTTGCAGTGGAGTGCTTTAGCAACTGAGCGCAGATGGATTTTAGCAGCTGCCACCAGTCTAACACCAACAAGGGTGAACGGCCTGATTTTAAGGTATGATATTAATCCAACTAATGCAAAGGAGCCGCGAGCTGTTCAAGAATAACAATAATAATCCTCAAAGAGGGGGAACACGGGGGACAGAAGAGAAACACAAATCTCCAGACACAGTTAAGGCCCGTTCACACTCTTGCGACCGAGTACGACTGAGAGAGACGAGATCTCTTAAAACTTCTTAAATGTTTTTAGAATGAGGGAACACACTGGCATTGTGGCGCCATCTATGCGGTGACCCTGGAACTGCATTTCACAAGAGCGAAGGTTTTGCGGGATTTCCGAGGTCAAATGTGCGTAATACCCATAGAAAGGCTCGTTTATAACATTGACAAAAGTTTTTCGAGCCAAAAAAAAAAAAGATAATGCGCGAAAAATAAAAAAAAAAATATGCCGGACCGCCGAGTTTACACTGCTTCCCAATAGATGGCGCCAGTGTATTTTCTGGTTTAAGAAGTTTTAAGAAACCCAGGTTTAAGAGGTCGCAAGAGTGTGAACGGGCCTTTAGGTGACTAGTGCGTGGCACAAAAAATCCGCCTGGTCCTGGCTTCCAACCAGAGACTTCTCTTTCCAGTGGAGCGCTCTACCAACTGAAGGTTAGTTGTTAGAGCGCTCCACTGAAAATGGAGAGGTCCCATGGTTCGATACCGGGACCAAGCGGATTTTTTTTAGTAGCGCACCAGTCACCTAGTTGTGTTTGGTGTTTTGTATTTATCCTTTGTCCTCCTTGTTCCCCCTCTCCAGGGATTATTATTATTATTGTTATTATTAAGTTATTATTATTATTATTATTGTTATTATTAAGAAAGGGTAAACGTGTAAGACAAAGACAACACAACCATTAAAGATGTGGTGGCGTTGTCTGTGTCTTACATGTTTTTGTTTTTTTAAATCCTGACCCGCACAAACACGCTTCTCGTTCACCAACTTTTTTTTTTTTTGATATATATATGAGCGTGAACGTTTTCTGAGGGATTGCGTTCTGGCCTTACTTTCAGACGCACAGCTTCCTTCGGAGCGGTAAGGTGGCGCTTCTCTTCACTTTTCGACGCTTGTGAAGCGTACCCGCTTCGACAGCCGGGAGCGTAGCAGGTCGGCATGCTCATTGATTGGCGAACGGCTCAAAGCTCCAGTCTGTCTATGCTGGAAAAAGCGGTAGAGAAACTGCATCGTGACGTCGCCTGTGGGAGGAGCCTAATCTCCATCACCAAGAAACTACATCGGGAGAGAACTGCACCGTGACGTGTCCGGTGACCTCGCCGAACAGTGGCGATTGAGTTGAAACTACGTCGTTCTTTTTTTCCCTACAGGGAATTTCGGAGAATCGCCGAGTAGGCTAGCACACACCAGCTCGGAGCACGTGGAACGAAAGCTCGCGCTGCAGAACCCAGGAATCGTGGGTTCAACCCCCCCTCTCCTGCCCGTTTCGATCTGCTGGATGAGCATCGTACCGGCGTGCGGTCGTGTACTGCGTGATGCACGTTAAAGACCCCGGGCTAGCAGTCGTACTGCACTGGCTAAATTGCTCATCTATAGGTGGTAACAATGTCGCCATGATCAGGCAGACTAACCTCCTGCTGTACAAACAACTAACGACAAATTTTACTTTTTGACTATGTTTGACTGCATTAGTGCAACTTCTCTCGTGCTGCACGAGAAAGAACAAAATGTTCCTTCGGGGGTTAAGTTTTCGGTGAAGTAGAAAGCAAAAAAGAAGAAAAGAGAATATTTCCCTCAAGTTGGGCTCGTAGTAGAAGAGGGGGATGAAGAAAATCAGTTGTTAGTCCCACGGTGTGTATGGTCTTTTCTTTATGTGTATGTTTATTCTAGTTCAGCTGGCCTGACCTGAAGTGGTTGCTTTAAAATAAAGCATATCTCGCTCTCTCTCTTTACCTGAAGTATGAACGAACTACCTCAACTTAAGCCTGTTACCGTTGCTTGCCCACAAACACGTTTCTTTTTTTTTTTTCAAGACTCGTGAATAGAAATATTTTTTTGTTTAGTTACTGAATACAGCACGCATGTAATACGTTAACGCTTTGAAATAGCAGTTCTTGCATTAAATGTTTTCTCCCAATCTCAATCTTTAGTATGCCCCCCTCCCCTGCCCTCCCCTCCCTCCCCCACCTCCTCCCCCTCCTCCTCCTCCTCTTCTCCCACCTCCTCCCCCCCTCCCCCTCCGGGCTGGGATGTCCCGTTTTCTACCTTGAGGAATATGGTCACCCTACTTATATGGGGTGCACTCAAATGAAAACACAGTCGTGTTAATTCGTGTAAGAGTATTTAGAATATTTATCGATCACGCCGCTGAACTTGCATCGCTCGAAGAACTTCCTTTAGTGAGCGCCTTCTCTGCTTGAGTTTGTTGGAAACACAGCCACTTCGATCCGAGGCAATCGATTATAGCGTTGGTGACATCACCAAGTACGTGACTCACAGAGTACTGGAGGACACCAATGTTTTCGTCGCTCCCGACGGTTCCCTGGAAGCCGCCAGCGGCGTAAAAGCGTAGAGCTGCGAGGACTTGTTGTTCGGCCGTCAGC